GTTGGTGAACCGACAAGGAAACGACTATGCCTATCCAGAAGTTGGTAGGTCCACAAGGCTCAGACTAGTACTCAACAAGGTGACGCCTATGCGAATTGGAACCAAACTTGTAGACAAACTGTTAGTTTGTTGGCCAACAAGCCTGGGGTTGGTGAATCGACAAGGTATCGACAAGGTGACGCCTATGCGAATTGGAACCAAACTTGTAGACAAACTGTTAGTTTGTTGGCCAACAAGCCTGGGGTTGGTGAATCGACAAGGTATCGACAAGGTGACGCCTATGCGAATTAGAACCAAACTTGTAACAAGGAGCCAACTTGTAGATTTGGTTTACAGTGTAGCGCAAGTTATTCGCGAAAAAAACGAAGGGTTTTATCCGACCCACACCCCTAAAAGTGTGAGGGATATCCTGCACACGGATAGCGACGGATATCCGTCGAAGCTACCCCAGTAACTATATTTTCTAAATGTAAAGCACATGCTGGCGATATAATGCAGCCAAAATTATCATAGCAGTTACGTGCTTTGTCAAGGGCACCACATATACCCCTGAGCTGAATGTTCAAATTTTGTTTTCTTTTTAACTGAACTAAATTCAACAAGACTTTCATTGGACAAGATTGTTGACGGCCCTCCTGTGAAACGAGACTCGATAAATTCTTAAGATCCCTAGTTATTTTGTAACAACCCTAGGTTCGTTGCATACTAACTAGGGAGGTTGCAACGACCCCACACTGTAAACCAAATTGACAAGTCTTGTGTAATATAACCAATCATCTCTTGGTATGTTTACCAACTGATACTTTTCAAACAAGCCGTTGTCTGGTGCATTGCTTGTCAGATGACAACTACGAGTCAATAGTTACTATGCACACCAACTTCTCAGTATCCAGACCAACTCTACATTTGTTTCAACGTTTGTTTCTTAACCAGTTTTGGAAACTTGTTGCCGCATGGTTATTTAACCGGCGCCTAACTTGTACTGGTCAGCTGGTCAGCATACACATGGTCAGCTGCGCCCGTGACGTCAGACTTGGCGGACCAATCAGCGGTCGCCGTCCGGCCCCGGCGCGGCGGTTTCAAACCGTTCAAACCAGCAGTTGTCGCGCGGCCGCCGTGCAGCATGGATCAGCGACGAGGGCTGTTCCAGCATTTGTGCAGTAAAAAGTGAAATCTGTGAACTGTGGTGTTCGTGCTGTGAGTGAGGCCCGCTCTGGCCTGCGGGACGCACTAATCGTGCCTATACCCGCGGTCGAGAAGCCTCCCTTCCCCTGCGCGCGCAATGTAAGTGGGCCAGACCTTTGCATGCACATGTGAGCAGATGTTTTGCGGTCGGTGTTTTTTATATATAAATACATTTATTTGCCTTTAATTCAACTCTTTGTATTTTTAACTTAACTGATGGACATATATGGGCTGTAAAAGCTAATCTGGTTGGCGATCATGCTTTATTCGAATTATCTGCGTGATCGTGCAACTGCCATGATTGTTATGGTCAATGTGGAAATATTCTTGTGGAAATATTAGTTGTTGAACCCGGTGTCAGACAAATTTGCTGTTTCACTTTCTCATTTTGGCGCCAGTGTTTACACGGCCAATAGCCATTCATACGGGCATGTTATACTTCTGGCTTGATGCGATGCACAAAACCATGTTCTTCCACATACGCAGCAGTTCTTGCTTCAAAGACTTATATGCTGACGGTGCACGATAGGTATACCTTATACCTCATGCATTTACCACATCCATTCGAAAATATGCACTTGGAATTGTCTCCAGTCAATAGTATTAATTACATACTACGTGATGTAGGTACGTGACCGTAATAAATACTAATGATTCCAGAACCTTCCGAATGGATGTGGTGTATGCATTCATCGATTATATAACCCATCAGTATTTCGTTTCTTGTCAGCGCAAGCCTTTGAGCAATAACTGATGCCAGTCATGATTTTGTGCACCACTTCCAGCCAAAAAATGACCTGTCCGTATAGAAAATATTTCCTGAATCAGTATCGTGGCAATTGAAAACGAACGCGAATCGTAAGTTCTTAAGGTTATCAACGCAAACAAAGCGATTGTAAGGGAGAACAAGTTCGAACTGAGCGTTAGTACACTTACTTGTTGACAATTTGTAAACTAGCAATGCCCAGTCAAAGGCTAGTTCATCAACAAACCAGGGGTTGTTGAACCGACAAGGAAACGGCTATGCCTATCCAGAAGTTGGTAGGTTCACAAGGCCCAGACTAGTACTCAACAAGGTGACGCCTATGCGAATTGGAACCAAACTTGTAGACAAACTGTTAGTTTGTTGGCCAACACGCCTGGGGTTGGTGAATCGACAAGGTGACGCCTATGCGAATTGGAACCAAACTTGTAGACAAACTGTTAGTTTGTTGGCCAACAAGCCTGGGGCTGGTGAATCGACAAGGTGACGCCTATGCGAATTGGAACCAAACTTGTAGACAAACTGTTAGTTTGTTAGCCAACAAGCCTGGGGCTGGTGAATCGACAAGGTGACGCCTATGCGAATTGGAACCAAACTTGTAACAAGGAGCCAACTTGTAGATTTGGTTTACAGTGCAGTTTCGTTACAACGTCCCGGAACGAGCAGTTATTTTGTAACGTTCTTCTCCCTACACTGTAAACCAAATTGACAAGTCTTGTGTAATATAACCAATCATCTCTTGGTATGTTTACCAACTGATACTTTTTAAACAAGCCGTTGTCTGGTGCATTGCTTGTCAGGTGACAACTACGAGTCAATAGTTACTATGCACACCAACTTCTCAGTATCCAGACCAACTCTACACTTGTTTCAACGTTTGTTTCTTAACCAGTTTTGGAAACTTGTTGCCGCATGGTTACTTAACCGGCGCCTAACTTGTACTGGTCAGCTGGTCAGCATACACATGGTCAGCTGCGCCATGACGTCAGACTTGGCGGACCAATCAGCGGTCGCCGCCCGCCGTTAGCGGGGCCCCGGCGCGGCAGTTTCGAAACGGCAGTTGTCGCGCGGCCGCCGTGCAGCCTGGAGCAGCGACGAGGGCTGTTCCAGCATTTGTGCAGTAAAAAGTGAAATCTGTGAACTGTGGTGTTCGTGCTGTGAGTGAGGCCCCCTCTGGCCTGCGGGACGCACTAATCGTGCCATATACCCGCAGTCGAGACGCCTCCCTTCCCCTGCGCGCGCAATGTAAGTGGGCCAGACCTGTGCATGCACATGTGAGCAGATGTTTTGCGGTCGGTGTTTTTTATATATAAATACATTTATTTGCCTTTAATTGAACTCTTTGTACTTTTAACTTAACTGATTGACATATATGGGCAGTAAAAGCTAATCTGGTTGGCGATCATGATTGATTCGAATTATCTGCATGATCGTGCAACTGCCATGATTGTTATGGTCAATGTTCAGGAAATATTCGTCATACGGGCATGTTATACTTCTGGCTTGATGCGGTGCACAAAACCATGTTCTTCCACATACGCAGCAGTTCTTGCTTCAAAGACTTAACTTATATGCTGTTATATGCTGACGGTGCACGATAGGTATACCTACTGGGTATACCTACCTCATGCATTTACCACTACCATTCGAAAATATGCACTCGGAATTGTCTCCAGTCAATAGTATTAATTACGTGACCGTAATAGATACTAATGATTCCAGAAACTTCCGAATGGATGTGGTGTATGCATTCCTTGATTATATAACCCATCAGTATTTCGTTTCTTGTCAGCGCAAGCCTTTGAGCATGAGCAATAACTGATGCCAGTCATGGTTTTGTGCACCACTTCCAGCCAAAAAATAACCTGTCCTTATAGAAAATATTTCATGAATCAGTATCGTGGCAATTGAAAACGAACGCGAATCGTAAGTTCTTAAGGTTATCAACGCAAACAAAGCGATTGTAAGGAAGAACAAGTTCGAACAGAGCGTTAGTACACTTACTTGTTGACAATTTGTAAGCTAGCAATGCCCAGTCAAAGGCTAGTTCATCAACAAACCAGGGGTTGGTGAACCGACAAGGAAACGACTATGCCTATCCAGAAGTTGGTAGGTCCACAAGGCCCAGACTAGTACTCAACAAGGTGACGCCTATGCGAATTGGAACCAAACTTGTAGACAAACTGTTAGTTTGTTGGCCAACAAGCCTGGGGTTGGTGAATCGACAAGGTATCGACAAGGTGACGCCTATGCGAATTGGAACCAAACTTGTAGACAAACTGTTAGTTTGTTGGCCAACAAGCCTGGGGTTGGTGAATCGACAAGGTATCGACAAGGTGACGCCTATGCGAATTGGAACCAAACTTGTAACAAGGAGCCAACTTGTAGATTTGGTTTACAGTGTAGGGTCGTTGCAAACAAACTTGCAAACTAACTGAAATCGCATACTGTTACAACTTAAATAACAATTTACAATCTGAGGTTTATTACCCATGGAACCAATTTTCATTAAAATTTGAGAGATGAGGGTGACGGGCTTGGCACGATCTATGTATCGTGGTATGCCCCAACAACCACGCATCAATTTCGGGACACCCTGTATTCGTGAACATGGAATGTATTTGGGGTTCAGGCACGGTGGAACGTCAACGATATTTTATGTCAGGCATTTTGTAACATGCCTGACCCGCCAGGTATTTTATAAATTGCCTAGGCAGTTTGCAAAATGCTTGGTGTGTCCGGCAGTTTACAAACTGCCAGACTGCCTAGGCATTTTACAAAATGCCTGACGCGTCAAGCGTTTTGCAAATTGCCTCGCCATTTCGCAAAATGCCCGAAGTTTCACTTTGCCTGTAACATATACAGTATATACCCTTGTATGAAGAGGGAACCCGCACTGAAACGTCAACATTTATGCCACTTCTTGCTGTGCTTGCATGACAAAACGACAAGACCGTGCGACATGCCCCTCAATAATGAGCAAAACTAACGTTATGTCAATCTATCCAGCCACATCTGCTGATGTCACATGCAAACAAACAGTCACACGCACCTGAGCAGCGTTCTGCATTAGTCTCTGGCGAACCTCGCGAATCTTCAGTACCAGCATCTGCTTGTTGGGAAACAGGTTGGCATGTTCGTTCTGAAAAGTGGCAATAGCCTGACCTGGAATAGGAACAAAGTTGACGTGTTATCAACCACAAATGTGTTCAATGTAGTGGTACGACAATTAGCACCGCACACTCAGCTCCGCCCACTGTCCTCCATAACGAACCATGCGACCCATGAAGCAGAGCCATGGGTGTAACTTAACCTTCCAGGCGGTGGAGGGCATTTTTTTGCCCCCCCCCCTTTAGTTTTTCGATATATCTCGAGAACCGCTGCGCCGATCGTCACCAAACTTTCAGTACCCTCCCGTGAACAGCTATTGCATATTGTGACTAAAAAAATTTCCAATGGCTATGATAGGTTGGACGCTAATGACGTCAGAGTGACGTCATTTCTGCCATTTTCGACCCAAAAAAAAAGGTTTCGCGAGAAGAGCTGTCAGGCCTACAGCTTAGGGATACAGAAAAATGTTAAGACATAAAAGGTGTAGAATTTGGAGGGCTACAGAATTGCTATCCTGGATTTTTGAAATTTTTGGATTTTGACCCCACAAAAATAAAAAATAGATTTTTTGAATATAATAGCAAAAAAATCCAAAAAGTTTTTTGAATTTCGAAAAACCGGAATATATGTGATATTCCTTACCGCCATCTATCTACATACCAAATTTGAGATAGATAACTCTTTTTGTGGCCAACTTATAGCGAAAAAACTGTTCAAAATTGATGACGTCAAATTTTCAAACTCAATTTGTAGCAATTCTAGACCTCGTAGCGCAAAACAAAGACCACCATTAGACTCGTCGTGACGAGCTGCATCGAATCAATACCCGTTTTATGCAAAAATATCAACTTTTAAATTTGACCTTTTTGGCCTGACCTTGACCTGACCTCCACCAGAAAGTGACCTAAACCGTACCTGATGGTCTTATAACCAACACCATTGAGTTGGAAATGAAAAACTGGCCATAAAACATGCATCGCACAACCTTAGTAAAGTTGGGTTCATGTGGTGTCCCTTGGTGACCTTTGGTGACCTGACCTGGTATGACCAGTGACCTCTAATAGCAGCATATGTAGGGGAGAGTGGGGTAAGATGCCCAGGGTGGGAAAGACGCCCCACCCCCTCTAGCGGCGAAATAAGGAATCGAACCTGGAAATAACTGCTCTTAGCGTAAAGTGGAAGACTGCCTTGTTAACTGCACAAAAATTTGCGAAGCTCAGTTGTGCAACGGCTGGCTGGTGATTGCATGTTTTTTATTTGCTTCTTTTAAAAAATATTTTGGTGTCAAAACATTGTAAATATCAAAGAAGGTAGATAATTTTTATGTCCCTGGCTATGGTCGTGATACATTAACATGCGTCTAACTCTACTGTGTCCCAAACAGTTTGTTTCAGGGTGTAGTTTTATGGCTAACAAATTGTACTGATTTAATGTTAATTCGGTACCTTGGGGTAAGATGCCCCCTGCCCTGATGGGGAAAGACGCCCCCCTAAATCCGTAGGCTGGCCTTCAAGGAACCCGTCAAATCATTTATTACATACTTGTGATGAGAGACAAAAGCCGATCTGGGACTGTTGAGAGTCCAGTACGATCGGGTGTGCTCCCCATGCCGTTCTCTCAGCCCACACAACAACTTTTTGGGCGGCATCTGACTCTGAGAGCCCTCACGACGGTCTCTGTGGGCCCCATTATTGGCTCCAAGGCCCCTCACGACATCCTTTGAGGGCTCCCATGTTGGCTCCACGGGCCGCGCTGGCATCTGAGGTCCCACGATGGGCTCGAGGGCCCTCAAGATATCATGAAGACCTATAAAGGCCCCAAAGCGGTCTCCGAACGCCACCACAGAGGCTTGTTTGGCCGCGCTGAACTATGATGGCCCCAACGACGACCTCTGAAGCCCTTACTTTTGAGGGCCCTTACGATGACATTTAGTGTCTATTGCAGGCTCGAAGGGACTACTGATTCATTCAGGCGATTAACGTGCCCATTTATGTCACTTATAGTGCAGGGGGGACATCTTGCCCAACGCCAGGGGGCGTCTTTCCCAGCCTGTGGGGTAAGATGCCCCTTTCACTTCTTCAGGAAAATGCTTTATAGCATAAAGGCTATCATATTTCAGGCACGAAAGTGTGTTATTTTTTGGAGAAAAATGATGTCGGCTTCCGTTGAAACTCCGAGTTTTGCTTTCCGATCGTCATTTTCGAATAATACATGAGATTGTAAATTGTAAAACCCTGGGCATCTTACCCCACTCTCCCCTACTAGACAACTGACGCCCTATCGCTGATTTTCGACAAAATGCTTTTACTCGGTGTTATAGCGCTTTCCCTAGAAGCCCCGTGAACGGTGAAACATTTTATCTTTGACCTGACCTGTGACGTCATCGGTAACCCCAAGGTCAATGAAATTTGGTTTCCATAAACAAATTTGACAGGGCTATCGAACGCCGTTTGAATTTTCCGGATCCGTCCAGTAGTTTCGGAGATACGGGGGGGGGGGGCAAAAAATACCCCCCCGTCGTTAAACGCCCCCAGCTGACAACTCGAGAACCAATATGCGCAGCGAAACGCACGAGGAGGCGAACGAAAGAACGCGACGAGACGCTTCAGATGAGCATTTGAAAGTTGAATTTCGAGGTCAACGGTCAGGTCAAGGTCAGGTGAAACACCTGAACTCGGGCTTTCAGTAGCATGGACTTCAGAACCTCGTAATGGGCGCCGCTCGTGATAAACTCAGTCAAAACTGTGCACAATCCTTCATAAAAGGCCTAAAGAGTGTGTTAGCGAGCAAATACGTTTCTGTATGTATTTTGACGAAGACGGCCGGCGCTCGGAGCGCGGCGGTCGGCCCGCCGCGCCGCGCCGCGCGCACATGTGTAAATCGTGTCATCTGGCCCCTGTCCTGATTCTCATGCCCACGTGTTGTGCTACCACGAGGGCTGAGACGGGACAGGGGCCTGACAGTCTTCAACGGGACTCCGCCGGTGCGACACGGCCCGGTGTTACGACGTGGCCGACGCGGCCTTACGTGAACGACGTGCCGAGAGAGTCTGTGCGGGGCATGCTCTGCGACGCCAGTCTATACAGCACCGCCCTGGGTGAGCTGGGGCGAGAGTTTGGTGACCCGTCCCGTGTGATACACGCCACGATGAAAAGACTGCTCACAGCGCGGCCGGTGAAAGATGGCGACCTGTCAGCGCTGACAGAGCTGTCAGCGCTGACGTGCCGAGTACGACGAATTGCGCTGCATCTGTGACCGCCGTATTTACCCGTTTTAATCGTTTCGCTATCAATCAAGAATAGACTTTTACATATATGAACAATAACTTTATGGTCCTCCGGGTGACGAAAGAGAACGAGTACGAGAACGAGTGAACGATCACGAGCACGTACGAACATTTCCGTATCGAACGGGTGAACTGAACGATTCTCATGAACACTCTGGTCCTCCGGGCCGGATATCAGTGAACTAGTGTGATGGGTTTACAGTGACGACGCGGTGTTGTGAACTTGTGAGTACAATGTCTGACAAGCGGTCACGACATGCCAGTGATGCGAAATCACATCAAAGCCGCCGAAGCTCGTATCACACGAGGAGCGAGGCGAGCTTCAGCACGGCGTCCTCCGGTCTCAGTGAAGCCCGCCGCCGGGCTGCACTTAGCCAGCTCCAGGCGGAACAGGCCCAGCGCGCCGCCGCCGCCAAGGCTGAGCTGGCCCGGCGTCTGGCGGAGGCGCAGGCAGAGCAGTCCCGGCGGCAGGCGGAGGCGCAGGCAGCGCTGCAAGCTCAGGCGGCGAAGGATGAAGCTGAATACCGTCAGCTGGAGCTGGAGCTGCTGGGGCAGGAGGAGCGGGGTTCGCAGCACCCTCGTTCTTCCGCTGCATCATCCGTCGCTGGTCTTCCGGTGGTCGCAACAGAGCCACCGGCACGAGTGTGTGTGTCTCAACAGACAGACGAGTCAGTCACGCGCACCCGACAGTGGCTGGCTCAATCTCAGCTGCACGTACCGCCGGTGAACACGACTCCTGTCGGCACTCTACCTCCACCTGCAATGCGTCTGCAGCGCCCGCCCAGTGACGACACCCGAGCGGTCCCGCATCTGCCGCGCATCACACTGGAGAAGTTCGGAGGCTCTGCCATCGAGTGGCCGCGGTGGATAGCCCTCTTCAAAGCGCTGGTACACGACCGCGCCGACCTCACCGACGTAGAACGGCTGACCTATCTGCAGACTCACCTGACGGGGCCGGCGAGAGAGTCTGTGCGGGGCATGCTCTGCGACGCCAGTCTATACAGCACCGCCCTGGGTGAACTGGGGCGAGAGTTTGGTGACCCGTCCCGTGTGATACACGCCACGATGAAAAGACTGCTCACAGCGCGGCCGGTGAAAGATGGCGACCTGTCAGCGCTGACAGAGCTGTCTCGTGAGCTCCACACCGCGGTGAGCGTCCTACAGAGTTTGCACTACGAGCACGACCTCGCTGCCGCCACGAACGTCACCACTGTGACTGGGAAGCTACCAGCCTCCCTCGCCTGGAGGTGGGGTGAGCACATGGTTGAGAACGGCATCACTCGTCCGACGCTCGCCAATCTCGACGAATGGCTACGCCGCCATGTGTCAGCTGGTCGGTTGGCCTTGAACGTGACCACCAAGCAGCTGCCGAAGGTCGAGGCTAACGACGCTGAGTGCCGCCCGAGACGCGTGTTTACCACCACGTCGGCGCGGCCCACGCCGGCGGCTGTAAAGCGGGAGAGGACAGCTGCCATAAAGTCATCTGCAGCGGACGGGAAGAGCGACTGGTGTGCCATGTGTCAGCAAACACACGAGCTCCAGCACTGTGACGAATTTCTCGCGCTGACTGTGAGTGAGAAGGCAGAGTTCGTCGGCAGAAACGGACTGTGCTTTAACTGCCTGGGTCGCGATCACATCAGCGCCACGTGTCCCAGTGATGCACGATGTGACGCGGAGCACTGCGGCAGGCGTCATCACACGCTGTTACACAATGGAGGACGAGTGTTTCCGCTGCGCGATTCCGATGATGGTACGCCGTCATCTGCCA